TTATACACTCCGCTTTTCACTTTTAATTCATTTTAATATATGTCAGTTACTTTGTGACTCTGCCTCTTTTCTCATATCAGATAATGAATCTTTGAAGTCAGATCACAAAAAGGCTAATAAAGATGATATAAAGTCAGTCAAATAATCTAAGCAATACGGAAGAAACATAGTACATTTTCTGATCAGGACTCAGCCACGCTAAGTTAGTGGACCACAGAATAATGTCTAAAATTATCCCTTTTTAAAAACCTAAGAGCAAATCTCCTGCGTAATGACTTAGTCCAGGTGGGACGATGTAAAACACAGCTGCAGTGAGTGTAATGAACGAAGATAAGCTGAAGATATGCAACCAATTTCGGGATAACATCCAAATTTAATTTTTCTTAGGCAAAAGAATCAATCTGGAGTATTGGCTATCAGACTGTAACATGTCGGTCCAATTTAATGTTTAAATGTATTCTAACCCCAGGTTAAACGCCCAGTAAGGGTAAATGGCAACAGACCAGATTACATAGAATGCCAAAGAATCCGTGAGATATGAGATGAAAGGGCTCCTAAGGAGAAACTAAGATGTAAGCAACAAGAACAGAAATGTTAAAATGGGATAAGAATCTTCAGATACAGTCGTAGACAAGCATTTTCACCAGCATCTCACTATCTTGTAAATGTATTATAGAAGGAAGTTTGAGGCTCAATTTTAACGGAGCTCCCAATAACGTTTGCTCTATAATCAAACGTTTAAAACGTTTTGAGAATATGCCAGTTCATCCTTTTAAAAAGATGTGGCGTAAATCTACATGAGATTTGACTAGAGATACAAAATATGCGATTGCTACCTTTTAACCTTTTTCTCTATGTTACCTTGATGTGAGAGATATCCAGGGAAAATAATCGAGCATTTAGTCTTATTTGCATAGGAAAATTTGGAGAAGAATGAAACTATTTAATATAATATAATATAATATATCATATCTTCAATTAAACTACGATGGTAAAATTGTCAAACAATGCACTGAATACAACCGGACAGAGAAGACAATTGTGAGTCAATCTTCCCATATTACTTTTTTAAACTGTTGTAAACGTTATGGTATTACTCCTAAGTTCTGTGACCTTAAGAGACCCTACCCCTCGGATAAAGTTAATGAGCATCTCCATCTGGCATCTATGCAGAAACTGAGTGAGACCTATGATACTGAACGTTGTAAGTTGTTTAAGTTTATAGATATTAAGTCAAAGCTCCGGCGTGATTTGGCCAGGATCCTGTCTCCAGAAGATTTTAAAAAACTCCAGAGCATGACCAATAGAAAATTACGTAGGATTTCTGACTTAGTAACAAAACAGCATGACGATAAATTTCGCAAGTTTGGGAGTTTTAGGCAGCCTAAGTTAAAGTCAGTACGCCCAGTTGAAGTGGCTTCCGAGGTGACAACACTTACTGATCAGCACGGCGATAGGAGGAAAGTATTAAACTTATCATCAATTCCTCTCAATCCCGAAATAACTGCGTTCCTGGAAAAAGGACTCAATTTTTCAATTCAACATCACAAAAGCCTTCTAGGAGACATCCTGTTCTGGAGGTTATCAATATCACCGACAAGTTCCCGGAGGAGACGAAACGGGAAATGGAGATGGAACTAATTCCAAAGATCTTGACACATCAGGAGCCTACACACAGGAACAGATTTGCCGTGATACGCAAAACCATGGAAAGGAATGAACAATTAGTACTTCAGGCGGACAAAGAAGGAGCTACAGTTATAATAGACAAAAAAACAATATACCGAGAAGATGGAACACATCCTACGAGACAGGACCACATATCGTATATTAAACAAGGATCCAACTAAGAAGATCAATGGAATCTTAGGTGGTATGCTGAAAGATACGCATATGAATGGGGAAATTGACGCATGGACAATGAATTCAATCATAAGGATGCACGACCCCCAACAGCATACGGATTACCGAAGATACACAAAGAAGGCGAGCCATTAAGGCTGATTGTCAACAACAAGTATGGAGCAACACACAAATTGGCAAAGTTTATATGCTTGAAACTCAAGAAATTAAATGAAAGGCTATCTAACACGATGAAGCACTCATATAAATTTTCTCAAAAAATCAAAAACATGGAACTTGAGAAAACAGACTTATTGGTAGGTTTCGATGTGGAATCCATGTATACAAATATCTCTGGAGAAAATGCGCTAACGACCCTGCTGGAAATCCTGGACCGAGAGGATTATATCCTGGAATCACAACGGATCGGTAGAGAGTCCTTAACAAGATTAATTAACTTGACAATAAGAAAAACCTATTTTACATTCAACGGTAACATCGATGAACAAATATTTGGACTTCCCATGGGATCGCCGCTCTCACCCCTTTTGGCTTATGTATGCATGAACAAAATAGAAGAGAGCTTCAAGCTGGCACCACTACAACCGGCAGTATCATGCGCTAATTGAATGATTACTTCGCACTTTGGTCACATGGAAGAGAAAAACTAGAAGAGTTTCTGAAGTTTGCAAATCAAATTTATGAAAAAATTCAATTCACGATGGAAGTAGAGGAAGGTGAGCAGTTACCGTTCCTGGACGTTGAAGTGATTCGTTCTAATGGGACGCTCAAAAAGAAATTGTACAGAAAGAAATCCTATGCTGAGATAATACTT